TCTTGTAGACAGAAGGAGGCCACTAACACCAAATGATACCAAAAAAAAGTCCAAGAGCAACTAGAAAAGGCCTAAATTACTAAGAGCATTTAAAATATTTAATGTGTTCAAAACCATTTGACTGAGGAAACATATTTGATTCAAGTGTGATGACTAAAGTACGGCATGCATGCTATCATTTTGAGATGGGCGTCTGTGTGCTACCACACCCTGGATCAGCCTTCAAAAGAGCTTTTCAATTATTCAAATCAGCTGACCTTGATACATCAATTAAAGAGGATACATTTCACACACATTGTGAAAATTAATACACTTAAAATAATGAATCTGCTGTAGTTAATCAGCAAAGTGCACAATTTTAATCTAAAAAGTTGATCATTTTTTTAAGTGGGTTGATTATTTCCAAGACAAGCATTTTCAGAAGTAAAGTATACATTTCTAAATGTTTTGTTTACTTTTTTGAATATTTTCTTAACATTTACAGAGTTGCTGAAAGCAATCGTGAAAAACACATGAAAACTATGCACCACACATTTTAAAACACAAGTCCCAATGCTTGAAACTTAGTCAAAACCAAGAGCTCAGCAAAATAATGAAACACCCTGATGAGCTGCATGTTGCAGAGGTTTAGAATAACCAAAGAGCGTGCAATTATTACAACTGCAAGAAACAAAGAACACAAAGTTCTGAATGTTTCTACGATATTCAAATAAAAGAAATCTGCTCAACATTTTAACAGAACAAATATTAGTCATCAAAAAAAGGTATTTAAAGTACGCTGCAAAACATTGAGGCCTAAACTCCAAAGCTTTGCTTGTTTAACATGTTGTTGCTGGTGAAATAATGAAATAATACGTACCATGCAAGAAAATAATGCTCTTGTTTCCCTCCTCTGAGTAGCTCCAAGACGTTCCCTGCGAGGCAAACGGCAACCTTTGTTTTCTTCTATGAGATGGAAGCAACACTACATGAACATTTTTGACATTTACACAGGAGCAATAAGGCTTCAAAGTAAAGTTGTACAGAAAATAATTGGGTTTGTCCAAGTCTGAAGTTGGGCAGGAGTGATGTGATACACCAATGAATAGTGCATGAGTGTTGAACCCGAGACTGGTAACTATGACTAGGGACTGCTGAGAGACGTCACTGTGAGCAGAGTCCACCAATCCACACAGGCTGTGCACAAAACAAAAGAAAATGTCTTAAATCTTAAATCCTCCAATAAGATGGTCCCTGAAAGGCCAACCAGCTACATTTACATACAGGGCCATCGCATTAATCCAACTGAGAAATTGTATAGTGATTCTGCACAATGGAGCTGAAAAAGCTTCATCTCAAAAGTACAAGATGTTGACTTTCAGAAGTATAAAACTATCAGGCAAGAGAAACACAAATGAAATGTTTTTCAAATTTTCAAAAGGGTTTGGCAATGTGCATCTTGTCATTGCAATATATAGTGCAGTGTACATCAAAGCGGTACTTCACCGGAAAGCATCCAAATGTGTGAGCATGAGGTGATCAAGGTCGAATTTCATGGAAGTAAACAAAATGTCAGGCCAGCCTAATTGGAAGAATGCTCCAATTTAATCTTTAATAGGGTGATGTTTGAAGCTGGGTCTTGGTGCACACACATTGTCTTTTGTCATGGAATCACCAAATGGTGTTGAGTCTTATTTGCAACGCATTTCGTTTCAAATACATTCAGATTTGGGCCTTAAGGTTTAAAAACTGACCTCAATTTTGAATCACACAAGTGTTGTTGATTTTTGCACGAGGATATTTACTTGAATGAATAAGTATCGAATAAGGAAAATACGGTATGATGTGTTTCCCCACAAAAAAATGCAGTGGTACTGGTTATGTTGCATTATTTGGCTTAGTTGAGGCATGCTTTAGCAACCTCTGTTGAATGCTGGAGTATAACTCATCATCTCATCAATTACACATACAGCCAGTCTGTAAGCCATACGTCAAAGTCTGAAGTTGCTGGTATCCGATGAAACTAGGCTCTAAATTATTTAAGCGCTCCAGTCAGTGTTGCATGTGTCATTATGTGGAGGTATCACTATTCACAACAAAAGAAATAGATTTAGCTTCGAGGGAATAACAGGGAAACATATTATCAAATCAGAAAAACATCTGTATGTTCTACCCATTTGACGTTTTAACATTCTACGTTGAGGGATATACAGTATATTTAGTAGATGTGTAGCAAACGAAACATCATGCTTAACTTTATGAAACTACTTTACTTCTCTTTGCCTAGAACTGTAAAGGATGCTTCCTTTTCCTTCCCGCTCACCTGGAAGTGTGTGATACTCTCAGTGACACCAACCTGACCACTCTGCTGAGGGAGTCTGCCCTTAATTACATGATTCAATACCGGCTACGAGGGGTTGAGGAGATCCTCGTTCCTCAAGGATGTCAGCAACCGTGCAAAGTTACATGCTTCTCCTTGTAGTCTAATATATTAACCTCATTCTCTGATGCATGTTGTCATCACACGCAACTTTAAACACTCTGAAGTTCACATCTGCCACCAAGAGAAACATGGTTGACTTTTCTGGTCTGATAAAGAACAAAAAGTATTTACCTGAATTTAAGAAACAATGAAATGCAATAATTCTTTACATCAGATAATCTCTCAGCAGAGATGAGGTGTCTCTGGTGGCAAGACACAACTTAGAGTTCATATATGTATTTAGATGACTATTTAGTTGACACTAATGAATATGCATGAGCGAGCAACCAAGCCCTTAAATTGACACCTTTGACTATGTCGTCTAGGGTGAACCACAGAATGACTTGATACCTACCATGCAATCTTATCCCATGTAGGCACAGTGTCCAGAGGCCTGTTCCGGCTGTTGGTTGTCGACCAGTTATCCCCATCTTGTGTGTGCTCCAGTGACTATGGGCACACCGCCTGACAGTGGTGTAGTGTATCCTTGTGACTATTTCTCTTAGTTGGGGGAGTTTGGCGAGCTTAATCAGTGAAGCGCAGCCAGAGGCCATTGTTATTGTTGGTGTCAGGGGGCCCATTGTAGGCTACAATTCAGCAAGCACATACGGTTTAACCTCAAGTGACCACCAGAACTTTCTTTAAATCAATTACTCACAATCTTAATGACTGGTTAGATTATTATGTGGTTGTAAATGTCTTCTATTGTATAACAACACATCACTGCATCCTATGTTACTTAAATGGACGACAATATCAAGCTTATTAATCGCACAATTTTGCCCAAACTGTGCACACGTCCTGTCGACAAAGGCATATTAAATGAAAAGCCTCACACGGAAGTAAGAAAATTTCAAAATAAAAGTCAAGGCTATAGAATGACTGTATGCAAGAAATTCTTATATAGTCTATGGTGTAAGCACATACCAGGGTAACATCAGAAGAAAATACATTAATGAAGATAAATAAATAATCATGGGCCGATGGGAGTATGTTAGCAACAGTAGATGACTACATGCAGTTTAATATTTATTTATGTAGTCAGCAAGATTCAAGTTTTTGATAAAATCGGTGAATTGTTTGATGTAATACAGTTCGTAATATAGTTTAATTAAAGTCATTTTTGTGTTCACAGAAATGTTGCTGATGGCACTGATATTTGTTTTTCCACTTTATTGTGCTGTTGCTTTAGCGAATGCAGAGTGTAGCCTGTAAGGATACGCGAAGTAAGTGTTCACCCTTTCTACCACTATATGGCAGTATAAGTGTATTTAAACCATAGATTTAGTCATATTTACCTGCATCTTTGTTAATTATCTCGGTTATTGATACAGATGTATTTAATGATGTTTATTTCATCTGATATTTGATGTTGATGGTTAATTTGCAACCTAGTTATAAACATGTATTTACTTGTTATATTTGTGTCATTTAAGAACCAAACATTCCTACATGGAAGAGTGAGCATGTGTCGTTCATGAAGCAATAAATAATGACAACTGAAAAATAAAGAGACATTTGGTTTATTCTTATTAAACACTAAGCACAATTTACCTACCTCGTTGATTTATTTGTCACACTTCAATCCTGAATAGAATAGTTAAACAGAAGAGGTCAAAGGGCCGAGATGAGAAGATATGATGTTAGTCAAATGCTTCGGTCCAAAAAAAAAAAAATGACTTCCGTTTTTTTGACATTAAGATACAGAAAGTTTGACTTTAGAATATAAAAAAAAAGTCCTATTCTCACAAGACAAGAGCAAAAACAAGATTACTTGGTTCTCTTTTCTTCTTTGCTACCATACCTGTCTTGTGACCCCTCAGATTGATCTCTGGAGCTGTAGGCGGATGCAGACTGTAAGATTTGTTACTATTTTGAAAATAGTCAGCCTTAAGTTATCACTGATTGTGTTCATTTTAATTCTTTAATTCCACCTCGAAGCCAGATTTTAGGTCAGCATGTCGAATGCACAGAGGGCCCACAGAATTAGAACAATTTTATGTCAAAGAGAAAAAAATTGCTAAAGATTCAATTCTTATTATAGGGAAGGGGATCCTATAATAGTTACTTGGCCAGACAGGGATGCCCAAAAAAGCTGTCCACGGACCTTTTGCCGTTTCAGTGCACAGGACCAGGAAGCTGCAGAAAGGGAATTGTATTGTGCATATATATAGATATATAGCCATTTAATGGCAAAGCTGACTTCAGCTTGTTCACCAGATAGAAAGACTTCCATCTAGTGGTCATTCTATTCCATTCATCAGGAAGGAATCCTAGTGGGGGAAAAAACAAACATCACATGTTTTCCTTGTCTATTGAGAACACTGACTCCATCAGAATAGGTCAATGTCAAAGCAATGTATGTCACTGAATATTACACCACCGTTTTCATGGTAATCATTCATGAAGACAGGCTCTCATCTTTGCTGCCATTTTTTTTTTCTGTCTCCAGGAAACGCTGCATCCCTTTGGCTACATCCATCTGGCAAGCTGGCAGTGTGGTGGGGGAATTAAAGTGACACAGCTATATTATGTGAAAGTAAACCAGAGCAGCTCACAAGGGGGAGTCACCTTTTTATAGACTCATTGAGGATCAGAATCTCTCCAGACGTCCATAGATTTTGAGGAGACAGGAGTAGCCAACATTTGTGGATAACCTTTGATTTATCCCTAAGCCACAGGACGGGGATAACTGGATGCTTTGTTTTCATGCTTTTCTCTCTCACTGTTTATAAGGCACAGATGAACAAGCAGCTGATGCAGAGGGCTGCCCTCTGCATCAGACAACTTGGAGAGTGAGGACCCGAAGGCATCTTGAAATAGAAATTCAAAAGAGGAGGAGGAGAGAAAGGAGGAGAGAGAGGAGGAGGTTTTTAAGAGTGCGAGCATTGGTATGCCAGGCTCAAAAGCTAGCATGGCTGTGCAGGAGAAACACAGTGACATCCCTCCATCGCAGGGACCACTTTCTACACGTACCGCCAACAGCCAGAAGAAGAAGAATGGATTTGAAAGATCAGGAGGTTAGTAGCTTTTGTCTGTGCTGTTGCTTAAGAATGCATATATAGTGTTATTTGTATGGTATCTGATCAAAACAAGCCTTTCCTTGAAGCAAAGCCAGAATGACTGTAGATCTCAAACACAGGGTCATCTGATCATATCGATGACGCATGAATAGAATATATACATTCTCTTTGGGAAACCATTCTGTAACTGAGCATGGCAACAATAAACACCAGGATATCAGGGGGAATCTGTAGACATAATAAACATAGCATCACCAGCATCCTGATATTATTCAACCCTAAAGCAATTCATACATGTGATTGTTATCCCCCCCCTCCCCTTGTGCTTTTGTATAAATGCTCTTCGGTCATGACGACGTATCAGGTGCTAGCATGTTCTCTTTGCTTTTTATACGCAAGTTATTTATAATGGCTCTTTCCATTGCAGCTGACCCCTAAGGCCATCCAAGTCCTCAATAGTCACTATTTGGGACCATTTGTCCAAGCTGATTTGGTTTTGCTTTATATGTAACACTCCCTGAACGCCATCTGTTGTACTAAAAGATGCATTTACAGATAGTAGAAAATCCAAAATATCAAAGGAATATTGAGTGTCAGATTATGAAAAATAAGAAGAGGTCAGAGGTATTGCTATGGATTTATTTTAACAGAGTAACATGCTGTTTTCCCCCTCACTTTTAGACAATGGTGGTTATATCGAACCAAATTCACAGGCAAAGAAAACAGCCTGTTCTGTCAACAAGGCTGCCCAAATCCGCAACACAGCCACTACACGGGCCACTGCAGGTTGATACAACTCTCACATTCATCCTTTTATCAAGCAGCTGTCATATTATTAGGATACTGTATTATGACTTTCAGCATGACTTCATTTTACAGACTGTCTAAATTTGGGGTTTTAATGTTTAATACAACTAATAGCATATTTATGTAATTTATGGCACCAAACCAGTGACTACAAAGTATCATCTTGGCGTTCTAGTGGCTAATGGACCAAATATTGATGAGAGGCTGAAAGCAGCACGGGAGAGAAGACAAGAGCACCAGAAGTTAATCGGTATGTGACATTGTTAATTTATTGTCCTCCATTTCTAATAAGATCAACACACATAACTGAGTGCTCTATTCAGACTGGTTCACTTTTCCCCCCCTCAGCCTCTCGGGAGCAGGGCAGATTGGAGCGGGAGCAGCGGGCCAGGCAGTACTACGAACAACAACTGCAGGAGCGCAGGAAGAAACTCCTGGACCAGAGGCTCAAAGAGGAGAGGAAACGTACTGCTGTGGAGGAGAAGCGCAAGCAGAGACAGAAGGAGGAGAAAGTGAGTTTTGATGAGTGGAAATCAAAACACTTTTATTTTTAGAGAGTACCGGGGCTTCCCCAGCTCTGGGTTGAGTAACATCGCCACTGAAGCTTGTTGTCCTGAATTAAGGAACGATATGAATCTGCAGTGCGTAAGACAGTGGAGAAGAGTCAAAGGGCCCAACACAGCCTCGGTCAGACCTCAAGAGGAAGGAAACTCACCAAGAACGGTAAGCAGAGACAAATGTGCTTTCTTTTTTTCCCCACTCTCTTTTAACATGATCTTTTAAAACCCATAACACCATTCTTAACAGTATCTGTTCATTGTGTAACATCTTGGAGTGCCTTATCTTTGTGTTTATGCCGCACTTAAAACTCTATACTGATCAATATGCTAGTACCACGTCGCTTGCCTCTGACAACATGGGAGAAGAACTTGGTCAGTCGCCTGCTTACCCCCACGTGCTCTTATCTGGCCAGGAGCAAGAGTGCTGGCTGTCAGTCCGGAGAAGAAGGTACTCACTCCCATGATAGGAGAACCCTGCTTTAACATTATGGCAATGCCAATTGTTTGTAGTGCATTTGTAAGATAGCCTAATACTACAACTAACCAACTGTTCATTTTCCTCTCTGTTTACGCACTGCTTCACAATTCCATCACTGTTTCCATGATTTGTGCATATTTCCTCCAATTTCCCACAATTACGGCACAAATCACGGGCTCAGTTGTCCATGTTTGTCGCCGTGCAGTTTCATTCCACTCCATGAATTCCACCACCACTGCCCCTCACAAACCCCAGCACCACTCTGGTTCAGTCCACCACATGCCATCCGCCTCCCCGAGTCCCAACAACAAGCAGCACAGAAGCATCAATACGGCACAGGTAATTCTAGCTGTCCCTCTGGTCTTATATATTTTTACGATCACCCAGCTGTCTATTTTTTCAGTCTTTTTCTGATTTGAGAAACATTATGTCAAAAGATAATTCTGATATTTCTTTTTGGTTTAGATCAAAGCAGCAAGACAGCAAGACGCTCATAAGAAGAACTCAAATACTAGATCACCTGCCGTCAACACCAGTGTGAAAACAGCCAAAGTCAAACAGAGCAGAACAACTTCCCCCTCACCTGAACGGTAAGTGAAATGTTTCTGACCAAAAACATCCGCTTTACATTCATGACATAGTACCAGTGATCTGAACAAAGTGGGGCATCTGCTCCCTTCTTTCTGGATCTTAAAAGGACCCCCCGAAGGTCAATCAGCAGACACTCAACCCCGCTGCAGCTCGAACTCCCATCTGTCCCTGAGGAAGATGTTACCGTTGGTAGTTCAGCCCTCTCCCCTGGTAACTCAAGGCCTGTCAGGACTCCGGCTCAAGGTCAGCGAGAGAAAATCAGGGATGAAAATCCACCAGAGGCTCTGTGTTTGAACCTACCCGACAAAGAGACAGCAGATCATGGAAGTAAGCTCGAGAAATGCTTAAATAAAGTGCTGTATTTAAAACAATTAAAAATGTGTTATGAAGTTGATAATATTTCTCTTCAGGTCCTCCCCAAACGCCTCTTGAGCCAGCCCCACAGACTCCTAAAGTCATGTGTAGAACTTCAGCCGGGACTACAGACCCAGGGGAGGCCTCACGTCTCCTGGCTGAAAAAAGGAGAGAGGCCCGACTACAACGTGAGGGAGAGGAGCAAGAGCGCCTGCAAAGAGAAGAGGCCGAAAGGTAACCATGTCCACCTACGAGACAGAAACACTGCAGTAGCAGGCCATCCAGTATTACAGGTCATGATTATTGGACATAAATGTATTAATTTATGTCCAGGCGGAGTCGTGAGGAGCTGGAGCGCAAGAGGGCAGAGGAGCGAGCACGACAGCAGGCCGAGGCTCAGCGTCTCATAGAGGAGAAGATGAGGAGGGAGGAAGAGGAGCAGAGACAGGCCGAAGAAGAAAGAGCTCAGGCTATGAGGGAAGCCGCTCTTCTGCAGAAACAGGTAAGAAATGCAAACATTCCTCAGTGCACGAGGGCTTTTGCTGAGGGGACAACCTCTGCACCCACAGGGAGTCCTTCTGGACGCTTTTTATTTGTAATCTATTTCTAATGGACATTCACTGTTTGTACAGCGAGAGGAGGAACAGGCCAACGAGAGGGCAAAAGCAGAGCAGATGAAACAAGAGCGAGAAATATTTGCACAGAAAGAGGAGGCAGCTCGTCAAGCAAGAAAAAAGGTTTGACAGTATGTCTAAATAATCTGAAATGTTAATTACTATATCTGTACACAACACTGTATTATCTGTGTTGATAAAAATAAAGTCTATCAAAAGCTCTGTCCCGTTAAAGAGACGGCACGGTTTAATAAAAGCCATTTTATTTTCCAGCGACTTGAGGAGATCATGCGGAGAACCAGAAGGACAGATTCTCCAGATACGGTGAGATGTACTGCTAACTTTTTGTAAAAGTACATTGCCCCTGGGCTCATATGACACACATTCAGTATCCTAATGACTAACCAGCTCCACTTCTACGAACAAATCGGTTAATCCTTTTTAACACAGACATCTGTTCCAGCGAGTATTTTGCCAAATGAAGCCCAACCAAAGGAAAACACAGAGCCTGTGTGCAACGGCACTATAGAAGTTGCCGTCAAGCTGGCAGTGGGGGCGAAGACCTCCCAGCTGGTGCTGAACAATGAGGAGGACATGGTACCTGTTGTGGCCTTCAAAGAACGCAGGTCCCTCAGGACTCTCACAGGCCTGGAGGAAATCCAGAGCCACCAACGAGCAGGTGAGGCAGATTACAGACTTGTTCCATCAATCAGTCATGTCTGTTTCCAATCATATTTAATGAGGTATGGCAGAGACACCACACAATCAGCACCATTCATTCCTCTTCAACTGTGAGCTGTGCAGGCAATGTATATAAAATCATTCAAGGCTGGTGAACAAGACTAAGGTGCTGGGGAAAGTCCAGTAGTTGTTTTGGTTGGTGGACAAGAAAGTTCCACACCCTGGTGGCCTCTACATACAATATTCAAATCATCCAGGAAAACAGCAAAGGAAAGAAAAAGTGCCTGTCCGCACACTGACGCTTGCAAACTCACAAGTTATAGACCCTTTTAACAGCAGTCATTACAGGGTAAACAGGTGTAATTGATCAAATGATTCATGTTCCTGTTCTATTAACTGCGTCACAGCCACTGCAGTGAGCCAGCATGCACAATACCAGGGCCCATCTAAATGGAACAGGGCCATACTTATTGGTATTAATTACATCTATGTTTACCCTGCAATGACATGTCAACATGGCTGCTGTGAAAAGGGCCGATAAGTATTGCAACATTTCACCTCGTCGCGCAATGCCAGACAGTATGGGTGTAGCCTCTCCTTTCCCTGTATATAGTTCCCCTTAATGAAAAGTCTAGAAATAGATCACAAATGTTCTTCTTATCTCTTAAGCTGCCCTGAAACCTTTTGATTTAATATCTCCTTTTTGTCTCCCTATCGTGCATTCTCCAGAGGTCATCTGAGAACCTGCAGACATGGGCTCAAAGACTCTGTTGGAGAGCTGTGATTTCTCTGCGATACACAGGAGTCACACTGCAGTACAGCCATTTTGCTGCCCTTCGGCACCTTCTACGAGCATGTAAGAGTACAGCCTTGCCTCTCACTGAGGACGTCAGCATTCGGTCACTTTTCTGTGTGTAAACCGTGGCACAAACATTGGGCAAGTTCTTTATTGCTTTCCTTAGTACAGCAGGTTTCTGAACTAATAATGAAGATCCAAAAACCAGTAGATGTAGACAGTGGTAATGATAGTTTGCTGGCGAGTGTTGCCTCTGGGAAATACTAGGAATAGCCATTCTAACAATCCCAACGTGTGTTAGCCATGCTTTTTTGCTTATTCCTGATATTTCTTGCAATCCGAGCACTTTCCCTTCCTCGGTTTTGTCACGGTGGAATTAGAATAGCTCAAGTGGCTGTTTGCGCAAAGAACAGAAGACTATAGGTTTGTTGGATAAAGTTCATGTAAATTCCTATCTTTCCCTTTGATTTTGTGAAGTATAGCAATCACATATTTCAAAGCTGCTAAGGAACTTAGTTTCCAAAGACTTTGCTTCAGTTTTGTGGGTGTTGTTTTAGAGAATACGATGCACAAAACATTTATTGCACTGACAGTTGCTTTGTTTGATTCATTATATCACTCAAAGCAAAGTTTCAGGCGTAGAGGTTAAAAGAGTTTATTATAATAAAAGCATATAAAAACAAATGTATCTGATCATCAATATTTGATCCTATAGTTTAAGGATTGCTCATAACTATCACTTGTGAACCTGTTAAAAAGTTGAACTATACGCCATATTTCATTAAAGTTGAGACTATGCCGCATCTCTGCCTTGTTTTTCACTTAATGTGTTGACTGTAAACATAAACATTTGAAATGAAATAAACACGATAGAATAAAAAAAGCTGCTTGTCCATAATGTGCACGAATGTAAACACTGTGCACATCTCTTAGCGTTTGTGCTGAGGAAGTCAAGGGTCGACAGAAGATCGAGAAAGAGGCTTAATCATTTGCAGCAGCCGTCTGGTTTCTTCCGTCTGCGCATGCACCTTCCAGAGCTGAGCCTCCAACTCACTGCCAGCCAACAGAGAGGAACAGCCTCCGTCTGCAGAGGAAGACGGCACAAAGCAGGCTCACAACTCCTGACTTGAAATGGTACCTAGTATGGTAAGATCATTGAGTTGCTTAATAAGTAGGGGGTGCGACAAATACACACCTTTCTTGAGGTTGAATACGGTAACTATGCCGAGTTGCTGCAACTTAACATCCTTCTTTTTGAGAAACACCAACAGGTACTCCAACATGGTAATGTAGTGAGGTCTCAGCAACTGGACCATCTCCTCTGGGGGAATAGTGTGGAAACACAGAATATGACAATATGTAATAATACAAAGCCAAGCTGGTTATCAGAAAGGAATACTACCACACAACATTACCAGTCATTTCTAGTGTGCTGATGATGGCCGCACTGTTGTAGGACAACTGAGGATTTTGAATTTGTGCGGACAACCTTACAAGTCTTGAAACTTGCTCTGATGTTATTGTCACCGACAAGTTAGACTTCAGTGGATCTGAAATAGTGACATATCGTGAAGGATTATGAAAATGATTCATATAAAAAGAGGGATCTTATTATGTACACACACAGAACTAATTCATCACTCACCCCAGGTCATGAGGTGATGTAAGCACGACGTCACATGCAGCAAGGTCTCATCTGACACGGACGGAGACAAAAGGGCCCCGAGGAGTCCTGATAAACACAGACTATCCATCACAGCCTAGATAACGATGATGGGATCAATCAATCTCAGGCTACTTGCGCAAACATATTTACTACAAACACGTGTCGTGAAGTCATGAACTGTAGCCTCAGTGTACCTGCTGACCCATGCTGGAGCTACACAGGTCGGTGATGATCTTGCAGCTGTGTGTGATTATGACAGATGCTTGATGATGAAGCAGCTGACCAATTTCCTCCAACAGACCCTCACTCACGAGGACGTCCTGAAATCAAACCATGGAAATATTATCAATATTAAGATGTAAACAGAACATCCATCCATCCATTTTCCTCCGCTTATCCGGGGTCGGGTCGCGGTGGCAGCAGGCCAAGCAGGCTGACCCAGACTTCCCTCACACCGGCAACATGTTCCAGCTCATTCTGGGGGATCCCGAGGCGTTCCCAGGCCAGCTGGGAGATGTAATCCCTCCAGCGTGTTCTGGGTCTTCCCCGGGGTCTCTTCCCAGTTGGACGTGCCTGGAAAACCTCCAGTGGGAGGCGTCCAGGGGGCATCCTAATTAGATGCCCGAACCACCTCAGCTGACTCCTTTCGACGCAAAGGAGTAGCGGCTCGACTCCAAGCTCCCTCCTGATGACCGAGCGCCTCACCCTATCTCTAAGGCTGAGCCCGGCCACCCTACAGAGGAAGCTCATTTCGGCCGCTTGTAGCCGCGACCTTGTCCTTTCGGTCACGACCCAGAGCTCGTGACCATAGGTGAGATAAACAGAACAGTTGGTTTATATTTACAGTCTTTTTTTTTTTTTTTTTACATATAAGGAAATGAATGCCCCAATAGTATAATAAATCCCTTTTCAAAGTCTTCCCAGCTGTTACACAGCACCAATAGTTACCAACTCCATCATTGTTATGATCGTGCTGTGTAGGAAATCGTACATTGTTCGGTGGGTGAGCCGACAGTGCAGAAAGTAGTGTTATGGCAGATTCTCTCCGCACAGGAGAAGAGTTCTTCAGCAGCGCCTTCAGGGGCACCAAACAGTCGAGCTCCATCAGCTGCTCCTGGATCAGCACTACGCGCACAAATGAAAATGACAAACAGCATCTGCTTTAGGTATGGCATCAATCTCTGGCTTCATTGTTTATAATTACCGTTCTTTGAGAGAGTTTGTAGGCATCTGCATGCTTGAGTCGAATTCTGAAAAAGAAACACATATACGATTTTTATCAAACATTGTTGATGATTTACCTTCAAACTCAGACACTTAAAGTCACATTTACCTTTTGCACAGAAGAAGACACGAGAGTCAGAAGAGACTTCAACAAAAAATGCCCCCCCATGCTGAGCAACTTTGGGTGGTGCTCCCGAACAGCAGTGATGTTGCACAGAGCGGTGCAGCTGTAAAACTGAACTTCTGAGTCTGAGGACTGCAGCAGAAGAACCAGGACAGGAATGGCTCCCACTTCACATAAGATCCTGGTGGACCAATCTGGGCAAAGAAGAGATTTTTTTGTGTTGTATTAAAGCAAAACAAAACACAGCAGCTTCTGGTTCCATTAAAAAAAAAAAAAAGGAAATGATCCCACCTGACTGTGTGAGGTGTAACAGAGCCCAAGTGGCGTTCTGTTGCACCTGTGGCTCGTAGGACTTGGCTAAAGCCAACAGTGGCATGATGCCATCCACCATGATAGCTTCACTTTTTGATTCTGTATGAAAAGAAAGAAAAACCTCCAATGAATGCTCAGCTGATTGCAACAGAACTACAATGGTATTGTTGTGTCTCTGCAGACTTACACAAGATATCATTTGGGGCGAGCCAGGATGAATAAGACTGGAATACTGACGATGCAGAAAGGCATTTTATGAAGCATCTTCTTTCTATTTCTCACCATCTCCTCTGATTATTCCCATATGTCTTGCATAGCATATGTGGCAGAGTGCGGACTTACATATACAATATACTGCTATCCTCACATAACAAATTATGCAAAAACAAATACACTTGCACTATCAAATCCTACTGTAACACTAAATAAATGGCTGGTTAAATTAGCAATACACAAATACATTGATTGCTATGTTTTCTATATGTTGTTTCTAATTTGTTCTGTCCTTTCACCAAATGCAAATTATTTACTGTTGAGATATTTTGTGAGATTTATTCAACAGGGTCCTCCCAGTCGGAACAAACCTGAGGAAGCCAGCAAGGTGACGCAGGCACACGAGTGACACTGAGCGGTGGTGTCAGCAGACTGGAACAGCTCCAGGATGGGCACCAGCATCCCCATTTCAATCACTAACTCTTTGCACACTGGAATCAGAGCGCATGGACAGCAATTATGACCATCGGATCCACACAAATGGGATTTCAGGTGTAAACTGTGATGCATAATTTTAATTTTTAATTCAAAAGTCAAAAGACGATACTTTAAATACCTTGTGATTCTTATCTCTTACCGTTATTCTTGGCTAACAGATTGACCAAGGAGAGAGATATCGTCTTTTGCACATCTAGGTCAGTTGATAAAAGTAAGGCCATGACTGGCTCCATGAAGGCATCTGGTAGAGGGGATTTCACTGTAACACACAAAGCAAAAAAAACAACATTGGTTTAAGAGGCAGACTTTTGTGAGTTTGTTTAAGTTCTTGACGCAAAAAAGTATTTTTTTGAATATCCAGGAATGATCTACAAGTTAAACACAATCTTAATTAGCTGTCAGTCTCACTGGCTGAAGCCAAAAATGAGTTTTAAATTCAGGTCCTAAATAGCCCACAGTGTTCTCTCCACCACAACCAAGTAGACACAGGAATCTGTCAACTGCCATGTTTAAGCAAATATAGTATGTGGTTACACTTTGCATATAACTGGATCTAACCTGGACTAAAGGTAATACTTTATATGAATCATTGCTTCTGTACTTATTATACTGTGGGTTTTCAAAATAAAATCTATTTGTTATGTCTTTAAACTGACACTACAAACACACGCTGGGAATGGTCTCCCAACACTGGAAAAAAAAAACAGTTGGACATTTGCATGATACCAGTCTTACTCGTTGGAGGGCTTATCTCGACAGTCGGTGATATGAGAAACCTGGAGCGCAAACAATAGCGTCATTCTTTGCACCACTGACCTGCATGCTGTAATGACGATAGTCAAGCAACATAGACATCGGTTTGATTTCTTTACTCACAATGATGACTGACATGTAAATAAAACATGGCTGCAGTAGTTTGTAGATCAGTGTCTTCCGAGGATGCAAGTCTGCTCAGCGCGTGCAGACTTTCCTGATTAAGTAGTTGAGTTTCATCATCTAAGAAAGAAAAAACAGATACAATTCCCAGTATTTTCTTATTAAGTTACAAATACACCTTTGATGTAACGTTGTATGTCCTAAATTACAGATCTAGCTACATCAACTGGGTAGACTTCCCTCCACAACAGTGCTGTCTACAACAAAGAAAATGAACAATGTTCTTACCACACAGCAGGTGTAAAGAGGGCAACTCCTGCGTCCTCCTCCTCCTCAGGAAACTACTCTCCGGGGTAGTCCTAAAGCAGGTGCACTGAGAAAGTTCCCTGAAAACGTCTCTTATTTTTTGCTCAAACTCTCTGCAAACCTTCCTCAAATAAAGGCAAAATTCTTTCAGCAGTCGGGAGCAATCCTCACAAAAGCCAGAAGCCATGACTACATCTTCAGCAGAAAGGCACCGCACCTGCCTGTGTTGCCCAACCTGCACACAGACACGCCCACTGGAACGTCACGTGACAGTGGGGATTACGGCTCAGACCCTTTACGCACAACTCTTATTTAGAAGCAAATATTATAAAATTATAAAAAATAAGGGAAGTTTATTAGCAGTACTGCATTTTTGAATCTGGTCTCGTGTTTTTTTTTGTAAAAAAATATTATAATTATTATTGTTGTATTCATTTATTTATCTTTGCTCTTTTTTTTGGTTACAGCATCTTCCAAGTATGTATAATTGTATCACATTATATATTTTGTAATGCAATTTAGAGAGTTGTTTGTGTTCTAATTGTAAGGATAAAACATATATTAAATAATATCAAAAATACTTGTTTGCAGCTGCGTCACCTAAATGTAATTTAGTGCAGTTTGATAGTAGAAAATAAACTTTTAAAGTTATTTTTATATTGTATGTTATTTTCCACGGTTCAGCCGTTGGTGAATCTGGTGTTGTTGTCGTTACGTCACAAACATGGCCGCCACGCCCCGCCTCTCACGTCCAGCCCTGTTTTGGTTGACTTGGAAACCGTCGCAGCGTCGTTGGTGAAGTCGGAGGACAGCACAATCACTGCAGGGTATAAATACACACCTTAGCTAACTCCTCTCCATCTTTTATAAACCCAAGTATGGAGTACGGTTTAATTTGAGCTTCAAACGGTTGCTTGAAGAAGCTAAGTCGTTCTGTACCAAACCTAGTGAGCTAATAATATCACTTATGCTATAGCTAATGTTAGCAGTTACCAAGCTAGCGTTAGCTGTTAGCGTCTCACAAATGTTGTTTTTAGCTTCAGCTAAGCAAACGATGTGGGTTTGTTCTACTGTGTTGATCCAACATGCAAAACTAACTGTGCACGTTACAAACCAACAAAGAATGATCCAGCAGATATTTTATATTTGTGCAAGGTTAACATGAATCACCTAAGCCTTGTATGTGTAACGTATACTTGACAATATGATTGTGATCCGTGTTTTGTATTTGTAGGATGAAAGCCTTCCTGCCTGGAATAATTACGCACGTTTTGCACTCAGAATGAGAGACATAACGGTGCCTGAGGATGCCAGTAGGTGAGTTTATAGTGCAAAATACATCCTTTCAGAGTGTTATATTATTGTATCATTCGTTTGATATTATTATGCATTCAAGTTTAAGTATGTAAGCATTTTAATGTTGAAGTTGATCGAGGTGAGGCTAATTTAAACTATTTTACGCACTGTTGGGTAGTTTAATCTATAAAAATGCACCATCTTTTATTTGCTGATCATGTCTTGTATGTAAGTAAATAAATATAGTGAAGTAATAAGCAAGTATAGTAAGTATTAGTTGAAAATGCACCCTTCACCACAGCAATATACACTTCTTTGATCACATAGTATTAACTGATCTCAATGTAACCCAGGTCCAGGGTCACTTTGCCCATTTATGAGTGGAACCTTTTTACAGGTGCGAGTGAAGACCGGGCAAAGACCCGGGAAAGATTCAATGAAGTCTTCAAGAAATACTCTGAGTCAGATAAGAAAAAGTTGAAGAAGAAAAAGACTGAAACTCAGGAGACTATTGTGGTACGTGTTCTAAAAGTTTCACCTGGTTTGTTTAACCTCCTTTCTCCAAGATAAGTGGAAAGTAATGCAAAGTAATTGAAATGGTCAACATTGTATTCAGGGAAACAAGCTTTACATACGTATATATTGTCGTTTCTTAGTTCTCCCTTTCCCCCTGTTTCTTTTAGCTTCAGAATCTAAAAAAGAATCTCAACCTTGAGAAGGACACAGAAGATGATGAGACCATCCTCCAGAACACATATCACCCCGAACAGGGCAGCCCTCGCTACACCAAGAATAAGCGAAGAGAGAGGGAAACAGCGGAAAAGGTTAATGTCAACAACAGTAGAAACCAAGAGGAGACTCAGACGTCAAAAGGCAAGAGGAAAAGCAGGAGGGAGCTTCCCCCCCTTCCTGTACCCGAGGATACCAAGAGTTACACCCAGGAGGATGCGGAGGCTTCCAAGTCTGAGATTGCTTTGGAGCCAGATGGTGGAGGTGGTGGAAAGGAACCAAAGCGGAAAAGTAAAAAAGGGAAAGGCAAGGGAGATACAGAGGCCAAGGAAGTGAGTCAGGTGGAGGATGCAGAGGACAAGCTGCTGCATGAATACCAGCAGCAGATTGCACAGAAGGAGGAGAGGACTTTAAAGGCGACAAGCACCAAGACTGAGGAAGAGAGAGTTCTCTCCCAAAATGTTTCACTCAATAACGATGTCGGAAAGAAGAAAAAGAAAAATCTGAAATCTGTAATCACACAGCCGGAAGTAGGGTGTGTATATCTACTAGTATGCTTGACATTTTTTTAAAATTGAATTTAGTTATTCGGCTACAGACTACAGTTCTTAGCAGCATATTGAAGTAAAATGTTTTTGGTCCACTAGGGATGAAGATGAAGACGCTTACCAGGATGCTGATGTGGACAATGAAGCTGAATCCAAGGGAAAGAAGAAAAAGAAGAAGAAAAAACATGGTAACTGGATGTTAACTGTCAGCCTAACTACAAGAAATCATTTGAAAAATTCCCTTTAAAAGTTTACAATGTTGATGAATTTAATGTTTTTTAATTTTCCGTTTTTTCAGTTGTCAAAGAAGAGAGTGAAACGGAGGCAGAAGTACCACAGAAACCAACATTTGATGACAGCCTTGTGCTGGGAGTGTTTGTCCACAGAACAGATCGCCTCAAGACGGACCTGCTGATCTCACACCCGATGGTGAAGATACATGTCGTCGATGAGAACACTGGACAGTATGTGAAGAAGGAAGACTGGTGAGAACGGACACTCTTTAGACACACTACACTACTACAGTTCAGATCAGCGTTTAACTCAGTGTTAAATTGTATTTTCACGTCTTTAATGGTTTGTAACACTTGTGTTGCTATTGCCGGGTACATACTTTATTTGTAACTCTAACTTGTAACACTAGGACTATATTATTTTTGTGTTTTAGTTCCGTCTAGGCATGCTTTACAGTTATTTTCACCTCTCGTGTCAAAGGGTGCAGAGTGTGGTAAAGCCTTTGAATGAACACAATATTTAAATGTTGTTGTCTTGTTTTTCATAGCCATCGGCCAGTCTCCTCATTTTATGAGCAAGACAACGTTGACCACATTCTCCCCATCATGACTCAACCATTTGACTTCAAGAAGAACAAATCAATCATCCCTGAGTGGCAGGAGCAGATCATCTTCAACGAACGCTTCGGTTACTTTGTTGAACAAAAGGATGAAAGCCCCAGAGTTATACTTCTCTTTGAAGTAAGAGACACTTCATCTCGACATATTTGGCCAATTTCAATGTCGCCATCAATAATTCTTTGCATTTAAATGTTTCTTGAAGATCCTGGACTTCATAACAATGGAAGAAGCAAGAGCCAACGTTGACGTTGACCAGCATGAGCGAGGATTCAGAAAGATTGCATGGGCTTTTCTCAAGGTGCTATATTTGGCCTGGTTTGACTTGGATTTGAACTGTTCTTTATAATCCTTATCTCACAATTTTCTCTGTATCCTTTAGCTTGTCGGCACAAATGGTCTGCTGAATATCGACAGTAAACTTCGCCTCCAGCTCTTCGGCCCGCCACCTCGGGCAAAGAGACAACCCAAAACGATTGAGGTGGTCGAGTGGTGGAGGAAGTACCCCCGGAACAAATACGCATCCACCCTTTATGTCACGGTGAAAGGCATCAAACTCCCTGAACATGTACGTTTTTTTTATAGCTGCTACTATGTATGTAATCTGTCTTACATTGTTAATATAGATATGTAGACATGCAAATAGTTGACGTGTAAGGTATTAGTGATACTGTAGATATAAAGCTGTTTCAGATATTCTGGTGTTAAGCCACAAGTGGATTCAGTGATATGTTGTGAGCTAAGATTGGCCTTTGTTCTGTAGGTGGACCCCAGTATTCGGTCCATGATGGCCCTGCAGGAGGAGAGGGGTAGCACCTCCTACAGTGAACTGCAGAATGAGGTCACCAAGAGAAGCCTGACTCAGCCTCTAGACAGCAAGCCGCCAGCCTTGAGATGGAGCAGGCTGCCTGGACAGGTCGGTGGAATCAGGAATTAGTATTTGATTAACCAGACAAACAGCACTCACAAGTTTACATTCAAGCTGGTTGTGGTCGCTGTGATCATTCCTCCTGTCCATAGTGGCTGTCAAGTGATCTCTTTCTCATGCATCACCTATGTAAGAGACGGGAGAACAAATTCACTGTCCCTGTTCTACGTAATGTGACAATGATGTTAAGTTCAGCTGACGCTAACAGCACTGCACACAAGGCCATATCAGTGTTGTTTTTACACAGAAGAAAATGTGAACCTGTGAATCCTGTGAATGTGAATGTGAAATCAGAATGTGAATCCTTGAAATGTGGTTGATTCTCTGTATAAGGTCTGTCGGATTCCTAACAAGTCCATGCTGTCGTTCCGCGGTGGTCGGATGGGCTGCTTCACATTGCGCTTCTCTCATACCGGGACGATGCTGGCTGCTGCTTGTGCTGACACGGACGCTTTCCCTGTAGTAGGTAAGCAACAGCTCGTCCGTGTGAAGCTCCTCCTGCTGACGCTGCGCTTCACTCCTCAGCAGTACTCACAAGCTAATTCACTTGCTGTTTATACATGAACAGCTCTGGGGATCATCTCAGGACTCTACAACTTCCAAGCATATACAAATAAGAATAATCGATACTGTTCAATGAGTAACCCATTCATTTACTGTTTCAGTGTATGAGATTCCCTCTGGCCAGGCTTTGGCCGCGTTCAGTGGCCATCTCAAAATAGTCTATGATCTCTGCTGGTCCACAGACGATCGGAGCCTTGTGTCTGCCTCCTCTGATGGAACTGTCAGGTAAGTTTCAGTTTGTTAGATTGAAGAATAAATGACACTGATCTGCAGTCACAATGAGCTGTGCCTGCTTGTTGACTCAACTGCTGTATTAGCTGTTTGCAATAGTACCTTCAGGCGGAGTAAGTACCCTTCATATTAAGTGGCTCACCATGTGTTTATGTTACCAGCATGTTTTGGGCCGTAGTGGGGATTGTCTGACTAGAACGTTATTTAAAGAACATCATTTCTTTGCACAAAAGAGGGTCAGCATTATTCCAATGTTTTCTTGCTCTCCTGCTTTAGAGAGTGGAACGTGGAGAGGCTTCAGGGATCGGCCCAGAAGGTGCTCCCTCATCCATCCTTCGTGTACTGTGCTCAGTACCAACCCACAGCCCAGAACCTGGTGGTGACGGGGGGCTTCGACTCTCTGGTACGAGTGTGGAGGCTCGACGTCGATGATGTGAATGGCCAGCTGCTGCAGGAGTTTGAGGGTCACAACAGTTTCATCAACTCCATTTGTTTTGACTCTGAAGGTATTGTGTTGTCAATGTTGTGTGTAAACCCAATAAACCGGCAACCTGTACCTCTCACCTCTGCCTCCATATA